AAAAAAACGAAGTAGATGGGAGAACAACAGGTGTCGAGCAAAAAAACAATGGTGCAGATGTGGATCAGAAGGGACGAGCAGAGCACAGCCTCATTGTGTAGAGAACGCCGTGTCCAGCAGCATCAGCGACGAGAACGATGATGATGAGAATAATTCTGGGAGAATGTGCTCATATCGGAGGGAAAAGAAACGCTGAAGTGACAACCAAATTACGCTGAGGTGCAGGAGGGGGAGGGCGGTTAGTACACGCGCGGGAGAGACGGCGTACACGTGCGAACAAGTGTTCGGGAAAGATAAGAACCCAAAAAAGGAACAAGGAAAGCAAAAAACCAGGGTTGATTCTTGTCATAGGACACCGTAAAAAACCAAGGTGCGACGACGCGGCGAGGTTCATTTGTTGCACAGGCAAATGACGACCTGAAATAGAGGAAATGCGCGTGGGAGGAAAGATCGACTGACCTCAATCGTAAGCAATTGGATATATGAATGTACTCAGGCGACTTCATTTGAGATCGCCTCCTAACAGGGCGAGGCTCTAGAGCAACACAAGTTGAGTCACGACTGCCGACCACGATTAGGGGCTTATGCAGAAAGGTTTAGTCACCGCCTAGCGACGACGTTCTGCACGCGCGTGCACCGTAGACTCGGCACTTGGTGTGCGTAAGCATGCGATTAGAGGCTAGTTCACGACTGATAGCCATAGCTAGTGAACAAATTGCGTTCAGTGGCACCGTGTTGACCAGGCCAGGGTCGCTACGCGTCTACAGCGTCTCCTGTCACTACTCGATGGCACTCCCCTCCCCCGTTTCGACTTGGATCGCTTCCACAGATACACAGTGCCGGAGGTAAGGAAGGCATACGTAGACCTATTTGCCCCATGAAATATTTAGAACACGTCTTGCGAACAAAACGGGCGCTGACACTGCCGGGACAGAGACCAGTGACTTGTGTGTGAATTGACACCCATGTCTCATACCGATTACGACACCGTGGCAAAGCAAAGTCAGGACGACTGGAGGTGGGAGGGGGGGGTGGGCTCAGCGGCTGAAGTGACTAACTGGGGAGCACGCGGGTCGCAGATGCCCTGGTGCCTGTGAACAACAGTGTCAGACTTCAACTATGAGGATCTCGGATCTCAGGTAAACCAGGTAGCCAGAACCCTCAATCCAGTGAAGGAACGACCTACTTCGTTTATTGGCAGCCTTGTAGGCCGTGATTCCTGGCTCATTGTGATGGATTAAAGCACGTCAGACCGTCCGCAGTGATCACACAGTATACGCTGTAATCGCGTCGTTGGGTCAGTCTCCCTCTCTCCTGTCCAGCCAGCCCATATCAGCCGCATGCCACAGTCAACCGGAGAAGGAGCTCCTCTTGCAACTGGTCAGAAAACCAGACCATATTTAGGCCTGGCTGAAGGTATAAAAGCAAGACCCGAGGACCCACCAACACGACAACGATTGAAACAAGCTATCGGGAAACAGGTAATATTCGGACCATGGCGATGCTACAAATGGAGTTACATGACTGTCTTTGGCTTCGAATGGGCGAATCATGACTTTCATAATAAGGCGGTCTAATCGGTCGGGCTCTTTCGTGGGGCGACGCAAGTCTTATGCATGCCACTGCACCGCGACTAGTCGGCCTCTTCCATTCTGCATGACGCATAGCATACCGTGCCAAACACCGGCCAATCCACTCTCTTACAGGTAACCTTATAGTTCGGCCGTCGCGTCCGATGGTGTCCACCGTGTGCTCCACAGCCAGGTAAGAGTAGGCACAGTGACTTGTGCAACATTTACCGCACTCTCTCCTCCCCGACCTGGGCCCGGCGTCAAGGCATAGTCAAGAAGACCAGGTGCAGGAGGGGGCGCAGGTGGCCGGCACGGCCGGACCCGCACCTACGCCCACCACTACTCTCCCTGGTCCACAACAAACACTTGATCAGGATTTTAGCCAACAACAAAAATGGGTCAAAAAGTAGGAGAGGATGAAACAAGCTACTGGGCAACCAATCACACGGCCTGCATAACCCAGCGAAAGCGCAATCGCATCTACCGTCAGGGAACCAGGTGCCCGAAAACTGCCAGCGCACACCAGGCTGCGAGGGCTATGGTTTGTTGAATAATGACAAAGCAGACGCGCACTAACCTTAAAGCCACCATACCACGTAGAAAGCACCGGTTCTCACCGACCAGTCACCTCTAAAACAGGTAACCTACTCAATGAAGGACCTGAGTAGTGTCTGAATAAGTGGACCAATCAGTGGTTGCCGACGGAAGACGGTATGGGTAATTAAAGCAAAGGGGGGGGGGGGCGATTAGAACACCACTAGTTTGTGTATGCCAATAGTTGCAGAGAGCCTGGTTTCCCTTCCATGTAGCAGTCTCCTGGTGCGATATAAGTGCGGCCCTCTCAGTAGACATTACGTGGGCGCCAACGGCGACAGACAGACAAAGGTCCATGTAATCCAGTAGGCTCAAGTCGCTTGAAAAAAACACCAGTCTGATATGATGGGAGTATCGGGAGTCTGTGACATTGCCCAACGTTACTAGGCAGATAAACTCGATGCGATCAATAGTCCTGCCTCGGCTGAGATCTCCACGCTTCTCACACGGGACGAAGAGGCAAGACTAACTCATCATATAAGACCTACCAACAAAACGCCCTGTAGGCTTCAAAAACCCCTACGGTCTCACAGCGCAGGACTGGATAGGTTATTGCACAAAAGCCTACGGCGTGGGCATTGGCAGTTTAATCACCTGCGATAACTCGGGGGGAGACCTCACCGGTGGATCCACAAAGCACGCCGGTTCCGCCTCCAAAAGCGTATTTTAAAGGACAGGTCTGATCGCCAACGGTCAGGTAGCGCTGACGAAACGATGACACTATCTTACGGTTCTTTCAAATTTGCCCCTCCGTCGGCAGTGTACTTAAGTAACAGCCAGCTGGGTGAATTGCCTATCCGGCCCACACTGAGGAAACATGTTTGAAAAAGGGACAGTTTAACATCTGTTAAGCCCCTAGTACTCATTCTGACACCATGTTAATCAGAAAAAAGATCGTTAAGTATGAGAGACTCACGCGATGGGATTATTTCCGAACCGGGAATGAGCTTTTGTGTTTATTGGCCTGAAAAGAGGAGTACACAGTACAGATTGGGGTAGACCAGCGAACTTAAAATCGGAAAAATTGAGCAGTGGGAGTAATGGACTCGTGTAGAAGGAAAACATGTAAGTCATTAGCAATATCACCAGTCACTCAGAAATGGGCGCACACCGATCCATTGGCTTCCCGAAGCAAACAAGCTTCGTATGGACGATGGGGGTCACGAACAGGCAACCACCTATCAGACCGAAGTCGGCCAGCTATGATAGCAGAGGGGAGACGCGAGTCTGGGGGGTATATTGATACAGCACTGTTTCGGGCTTGTTTGCCTTCATTCAGCCAATCATAACTCTGACCACCAGCCGTGACCGGAAACACAAACATGCGCATAGACACAACGATCTGCAGCGACAGAGGATGGCAGGTGGCGAGGCACTGATGAACTTCGGTTCGATGAAGTGCTTATGACCCATCTGGTAGACCCTGGTGGGGGACCAGCTGCGCTAGGTGTGTCTGTGCGCATGTTTGTGTTTCCCGTCCCAGCTGGTGGTCAGGGTTATTATTGGCCGAATAAAGGCACAATAAACCCGAAACAGTACTGTATCAATCTACCCCCCCCCCCTCCCCCAGACTGTCGTCTCCCCTCTAATGTCACCAGCATCATCAGCTAACGACCAGAGGTCAGAAAAAGGGCTGGTGTGGGCGGGGGGGGGATAGGAGGTAGCTACACAGATGTGGAAAAAAAAACGGGAAGACACGGAGAGAGAAGGTCTGGGTTACAGTCAGATAGCATGAGTTACCATGCCGTATAAACGCACGGGATGACATCTAACCGGGAAGGCTTCAGCGGTTACATCAATAAGCTTTAGACAAAACATCACTCGGAGCCCTTGACCGTTGAGTCCGGACCGTCATGACCAACACCTGCTCGAAACGGTCAGTTTCTAGCCATGGGTAGTACATGGCCGAAAAGACTGTGGAGATTAGCTATTTGGCCTATGACAGACTGATGTTGGAACATTCATTAACTCACTGCATGCACGATAGTTTTCTTAAATGTCAGAAAACGGAGACAACATTTTATATGGCTTCGTTGTGCGGATCTCATTTCCCAGACTGGCATGCGGAAAATTATTGGGGTGTATATTGGCCGGTGTATATTAACGCTATCAAAAACGTTCGACTGAGAGCGGAACAGATCGAAGAGAGCGGTTTAAGCTACTCTAGCACATGCATCGTCCGCCATAATGTGAGGCTTCCGATGAGGTAATATAAGTTATTCACTGCTTCCCAAAACGCTGTCAGATCGGTCAAAACAGGGCCCTCCAATTCCATTTGTACTTTCTAGGGACGAAGCATTTCGAGCATATGGACACTGAGGTTGACAAGTCCGGACGTCTGTTGATTGGCCGCATTGGAAGTATGCAAGTCGGTCTTTCGGAAGGAAGATAAGGCTGAGCATTGCATAATGAACGTAAAAACTGCTCTTGCGTTGGAAACGCAGAGCCTCGCTATAGGAGCGTTAGCGCAGTGCAGTGTGGCCATTAATTGCCCCTGCGATGTGCGCTTGTCAGATCACACCTCGTACAACATCCCTGAGCTAAACGCTGAAAAACACTTCCTACTCTACCCCCCAGTGGTGCCACAAAGAACCCCTGCCCACGTGGTATCACAACCGCTCTAACTGATGAGGCGAAAGATTTACTTATGCGCTGTTACCGAGGACCGCATTTATGCGTCTTTGTCGCGCTGTGCTCAATGTCGCAACTGTTGCTATCTACGCCCCGATGCTGCATGTGAGCTTCAGGCCGCTTCCAGGCGTGTCTCAGTGTACGGCCCTCCAGTCATTGCTGATAGAAGCGAACAGGCGATTTCAAGGAAGCAGTTCGGGAAAAGAAGATGCGATCAATGGAACAGGAAGTCTATTGGGTTGACGTTTCGGATTCTTACTCGAACCCATCATCATGGACAGTCGTGGTCCGTACACTGTGGACCTGGACCGCGTTGCTACCGCGCTCATTCACAGAAATGTAGAAGAAGCGGCGGAAATGGCTTAAAAACGTATTCTTTCAAAGCAAAGATAAAAGCATCGGACTTTGAAGTCGGAGATCTCCGCCCGGTCAAAGTGGACAGTGAAGCGCTAAGGTTTGCAAACAGCTTCTACTACCCTGAGTCAAAGGTTTTGCAAACGAGGAAGCTAAGAATAGAATCAACCGTCCAGTCTTCCAGGCCCGGGTGGTTTTCGATTTCGTGAAACCACCCCAAGCCAGCACGAGACCAGACTGCGAATATGGAAAACCTCCGTGAAGACAATTTTTCTGTCCAGAGGTGGGATAGCTCGTACGCTCGGCAGATTTGTACCGCCTGGATGCGTTTGCTCAGTAGCGTTTACGCTCTATTTGCTGACGGCGTCTCCAGAGAACAACTATGCAGTCCCTCACGATTAGAACCAATCAACTGTACCCTTCGTACTCGCTAACTGAGATGGTTGGGCCACTTGCTTTATCGACCTCAAGAAGAAATTATAGAAGATTGCCAATAGAAGCGAAGAGACGAGTCCCAGGAAGTAGTCTTGAAGAAGGAGGCACGATCGCTGGGACAAGAGCTTTATTATCCTGACGTTTCGGATTCCTGTTCGAATCTATCCTCAAAGACAACAGCAGATACGGATGATTCACGCACAAGGGGCTGCAGTATTTATAGGATGCAGTCGCCATGCTACCGCATACCTATGTACATTCACGGCTCCCCACACCAAGTGTAACGATCCCGGATGAAGGAGGGCGCCGGGAATGTACATAGGTATGCGGTAGCATGGCGACTGCATCCTAAAAATATTGCAGCCCCTTGTGCGTGAATCACCCGTATCTGCTGTTGTCTCTGATGATGGATTCGAGCAGGGATCCGAAACGTCAGGCTAATAAAGCTCTTGTCCCGGCGATTGTGTCTCCTTCTTCAAGATTATTGAAGATGTTATTTTGGCCAAAACCTGGCCCTAGATGGCGACGACATCGATGCGCCCAATTTTAGGCGTGGGTTGGCGTAATGTGAGCTAACCTCGACCGCAGTGTTGGCTCTGCGGTCTGCGGGGTCAACATGACTTCGCTCGGGAGTCTGCCGCCTGATGAATGTAGGGAATCGGCGGTGGGCTGAACCGGTTATGATGAACGGTCTTACAAGCACAAGTATGCAAACTTCATAGGCCTCACTTCCCGCAACAGATCTGACGCACTGTTAGACTATCCCGATTCAACTAAAAGACGTGGACTTGCCCAACAACTGAGGGAACAGCTTGAGCCGTCGGAATTAATAATCCTTATTAATGTGGCCTTTATGGCACATGACACTTGTCACCGACGAGAAATTCGAATTATCGAAGTCCAGTTCGTACACAGTAGGGGAACAGGACGTGCGCGGCCATTTCTCTCGGTATGACTGAGATCGGCCAGGCGAGCGAACACGACTTCGGGATCCATCGCCTCAGTGTGTTGCGCGAACAAGGTGTCGACGGGAGACGGCGACTCATGCACTTGAATAGGTCGCTGCGTAGGATATTCTAAGTGCGTGCGCGAGGTCGGCAGCATACCTCATGCAGAAGGCACGAAAGGACTCCGGCGAAATTAGGGAGACTTGAGGCCCACTCGGCACAACAATGTCTTTCGCTGTGGTCGCAATTGACAACAGCGTCCTTCAAAAATTTGATGTTGACAATGCGCTATTACATTAGTCGCAACCCTCGGACTTCAATGGTTTTATAGAGATATGACACAAGTATCGAAATTTTCCAGATTCGGTCACCTGGCCAAACAGTCTACAAAGTTATAAGGCCAGTAGATGACAGGAAAACAGAATTGCAGAAAAATTCCACAACGGAAAATAGCCCAAATGATGGTTCGACCGTCGAAAGCGATGTCTAACGCGTGCCTCACGGTGTGGGCTACACAGCCCGCCTATGCAAGTCAAACACACAGCCTAATCCCCACTCAGATGCCCAAATAACTAACAAAGACCACAGTCTCATTCAACTGGCAAGACAGTGAGTCGCAACAAGAGAATCTGGGAAGAAGGGTATACAGAAACGCAGAGTGAAGCATTCTTACTTCGGAGCTCCGTCCACTGCGACCCGCGTACTCCTCAATGGTCTCGGCCGCCTCGAATTTGCCCAACCGACGGTAAAGAGCGCCCAGGTTGCGGAGAGTTGTGGCCACAGTGGGGCTGATATAGAAAAAGAAATAAAAAAAAAAAGTTGGAAAAATACGGCCACAGTTTCGACGACAACAATAACAACCACTCCAAGAGGTCTGTTCGAAGATGCAGAGGTGGCTGTTTATAAACAACCACGCAGGCGGTAAATGGGCGCTCACTGATCGCGTTACAGGACATACTCATACCATCGTGCCTTAGGGCTCAACCTCAAGCCCCGCCAAAAGCCGCACGCCACGTAAAATAAGTAAAGTAACATTACGGCTGATAAGTCAGAAATGACCATTCCAGTCTCCCTTGTATATGCCGGGAATACTATTTTGCTTATACTACTAGTCGCTATACGGCTGCTGGCGGGCTCCAGATTGGGCCGTAGGGCACAATGGAACAAGTATGTCCCGTAACACAATCCGGGAGCGCCCCTCTGCGCTTGCTAATATACCTGATCGCAACCGACCGGACAACGAGCCTGTGTCTTAACGGTTAGGGCGTTGGACTTTTAACCAACAGGTCGCGGGTTCGAGCCTCAGGGATTGCAAAACCTTGACCTGCGTACGGACGGCTGATAACGGTTGGTAAGCCAGAAATGGCCATTCCAGTCTCCCTTCCTTTGTCGGTAGTATTACTCCAACCAGGCAAATGAACGCACGTCAAAAACAGTTGATGCGGTAACCGCAGCCAACCGTGCGAGAGCAACGTATCAACCCTTGGTCTGTTTTGTTCACTTGTGGATATCATAGTCAGCAGGAACGCTTTTAGTCGACAAACTTTCTGTGACTTAAAAAGTGGTCGACACATTATGTAACAATGCACCAAAATTGCGTCTAACGTTGTTTAATAAGTCAAAAATCTACTAAACGACAAATATGCAACCATAAGTTCTGCTTCCACGCGTACGTTATGGGGATTTGTGGGTGAAAGCCCGAGGGGGGTGCGCACTCAGATAGACAGAAAGTCGAACCAAAGGCCTAGCCTCCGTCTAGCGTCCAGTCTCGATAAATGGCTTCGCGAGGTTTTGCTGAACTCAGCAGCCCCGCCCCTGCAACTCCTTTAACTGGCGGATGAGAGTAGCCTGCGTCTCTTCAACGACGTTGATTTGGTGTGCGAGTGAATGTAGACCAGCCGCGTCGTAACAGAAGCAGAATTTGACCATTACCTGATCAGTCCTTGTGACAAATCTGGTCCCATTGGATTGGGTGCTGCCACAGGAACATGGCGGTTGTGGGAAAAGGGGTCGCCAAGTCTTCCTCACCATAATCCGCTTCACACTGCTGCCGTTCTGAGATAGCAACAAGTGCCATCCTACCATTCGCTGGCTAGAAGTGTGAGTTCGAGTCCTCAGCCATTCAGCCTTGCCAAACATCGAGGGGCAGCCGCAGTCGGTTGCGTTTAGAGGCAAATAATATTAGTATGAAAAGAACTAAATGTTTGACAACTTTCAAGTCCACGACTATGAAGAAAATCGAGAGAGGCATGACCGGTGGAGTGCAGGAGTATGGGAGGAGATGCTTCCACAAGACGAGGTAAACTCACTTCTCCAACATGGCCGGCCGCTGGAGAGATGTCTGATTGGCGTTGGTGACGTCGCGAATGCCATTCTGGCGGTCCTCAGCCAGCATCCAGATAGGCTTGTTGGACTCGGATATTTTACCAAACTCAGCTTCGTGGGCCCGAGTGAGAACCTCCTTGTAGAGGGCCTCGGCCTCTTCGTACTTGGCCTGTTTGAGGTAGGCTGAGGCCTAAAGAAAAGGAACGGGGTGTGTGACGAGAAAGATTAGTAGTTGGAGGTCCTTACGTAGATCCAGCATGCGAAAACGACCACAAAAGCATGCAGTGTGAAGTGGCAGAACGTGAGGAAGCAGGCATGCTGACAGAGTCCACCCCTCCATTGGCATGGTTCCGGAAATGGACCGGTTTCGACAGTAACGGACTCACATAAAAAATATAATCAGGGTAGAGACCGTGCAACTTGCATAGAATGCATACCCAGGCAAAAAGCGAACTGGTCTGCTGTGATGGGACGACCAAAAGGGTATCCTCTTGGGCACAATGCTGAATTTTAGGCCCAATGTAAATTCAAGCTATTTTATCAAGCAAAGCAGACGCTGAGTGAACAGATAACGGCAGCAAGAACAGCAACTCGAAGTCTGGAGGCTATTCTTTGCATTGAAGGAGTCTCCGAGGCGGTTTCACGACTATTTAAACCCTCCAGAGTAGGTATTGCCCATCGATCGCAGGCAACAATTCGTCGCCATTTGATGTAACCCAAAGACACGCTGCCATGCAGTGGAACCTCAGCAGTTATCTATCAAATAGGTTGCAGCGATGGAGACTGCAACTACGTTGGGGAAGCCGGACGGAAATTTCCGACGCGCCTACACGAGCACAAACCGGCAACTCGGAGACTAGACGCGAAACCACAGCTTGCGGCTCACATCGGAGAAACTGGCCATCGTTTTGAGTTTTAAGGAGAAACCGTCTTAAGTCGGAGCACCTCGAGGACAGAACGTCTTACACTTGAGGCTTGGTACTCAGATTTCAATTGCGTCGACAGGCGTTTAGACCTTCCTGCGGCCTATAAAGTCCTGCGTCACTACATGCGCCATGACCAGGACAGGGCGGTCACACGGAGCTTAAAGGTACCGAGCAAATACGGCCCGTCGACTAATTCACCCGAAAGAGGAGCACAGGTGCAACCGACCCCCATGGATGTGACGACACAACCCGAGAGGCCGCCAAGGTTCACAAACAATGACCAGAAAGCCAAGGCAGCAAAAGAAACCGGCCAGCCCAGCGCCAACCAATTCGATCGGTTATTTAAAATTTTGGTCGATTTTTGCACAAAATGCTTCGATAATGGAGAGCCGACCAAGCCCTCTGAAGCGTCAGCCATTCAAATCCTCTGATCTGGTGAGCTCTACACAATTTTCAGATAGTCTAGGAAGCAATTTAACGGACACGCTTAAGCGTAAAATCGTGTACTCAACGCAGGTTAACGCCAATTTTTCAGAGACGCGGAGGCATAAGATCGCATTAGGCTGACGTTGCCAGGAGTACCCGCAAAATACCAATCCATACTCGGTACCTAAAATTCCAAGACCTACGCGGGGAAGAGACTTTGAGCTCTGGCGCATAGGACACATCAACTTCATTAGTCCGAAACGTTCCGGTAACAAACATAAGACGGAGGGCAACTGCTTGAATATGGGTTAGTCTTAGGTTCCAGATAGGCATCAGAAGTGTAGGTATGCGTTTTGGGCAGCGTGTCGGGCATTGCGCCATGAGAGATTTCCGGCGTGCCACAAAACCGACCCAGATGAAGCATACACTAAATGGTCGCTGGAATCAAGTATGGACGCCTGCCGTTGGTTGAAGCGTGTATGACTGCACTTGACTACACCAGTCATCCTTCCAAAGCAGCGACCTAGCTTGTTGCGGTAGTGCGGATGTTATTTGCAGTTATTGTATCGCGACAAGGACTGGCTTCATTGGCGGGGGAGAGGGTTGAAATTTGAATTCGTGTGCAATGACGAAAATTTCCGCCGTTGAGCGTGCTAGGGACTACAAAAATGTGTCCTGCACTAGCCAGTAAGGAGAGCGTGTCCTGTGACCAAGGTTCAATCGCATAGGCAACTAGTTTCTTAGGAGGAAATCCGCACTAAAAGAGTCGTTTCTTTGTTCGAGGTGCGTTTTTGGTTTGTTATCCAAGTAACTGGCTGGGAACATCATGTTAAGCTGGATAATTCTAACCACCGACATTACTGTGGCACAAATCTAGACAGATTCCAAGATGGTTCCGGTCGAGAATGACAATGTCCTCCCCCCCTCTCCCCCAAGGTGCGGCCTCATCTTCTGAGAGCCCTCGACACTTGACTATTCTCCCACGGGATGGTGTCTCCCGGAAGATGATAACGACAAAGGCGCGAATTGGCTGTAGCCTTCGCAGAACAGGTGAATACACTAATTTTTAAATAATGAGCGTTACGGAATAGAAAGCCCAGACAAGTTTTGTTGGAATACTATTGGCAATACGCCCAGAACGGCCTCATCCTAACACGCAGAGGAAATGCGGGTATATGGGGGCTTCGCAGTGGGTGAGATGAACAGGTACTCGGCCAGGGTTAGTCTCGCTGATTTATAACAGTATTTCCGAATATTTACCCGCATACGGACCAGCAACCTTTAGCACTGCTTTAAAAAGTTCACAAACTACGGCCTTTAAATGAGATAACATCACACACGAGCTTCAACTTCGTCAAGTCCCTGAGCTGAAACAACTCTGCACATTCCTGATTGTTCGGCATCATTACAAAGGCCCGTAGCATAGGAGCCTTAAACAGTTTGGAACACTGTTGAAAGTGCGTGGCGGTCGTGAGTCTGCCGAAAGTTGAAGGTGCTCTTTGAACAATGGCTGGGGGACTGGCCTCCCTTGTCTTTTTCGGCAATGCCATTCTGACAACAACTGTTGTTGCGTAGCGACTTTTCTAGCTTCTGTCATGCGATCAGGCGCAAACTTCTCAACCTAAGCGCAACGTAGGAGCATATAAACGGTCAGCTAAAGATTTCCAGGCAATTCATTGGAATTACTTCACCTGAAGACTAGGTCTCTGTTTGCCAACTGCTGCTCAGTGTACAAACTCCCCAATTCTTATCGAACCCACAACTTTGCCCTTGAGTCAGGAATTCGCATATGACTAGCGGAATGAACTTCAGTCAACTTACTGACAACAGAAGCAAAAATGGCAATGCAGTACCCGTCTGTGCACATACCAAGTTGTTCTTGGTCTTGAGGACATTGGGGTCATTTATCCCCAGAGCGCTTATGTAAATTTCGAGGGCGCGTTGGTAGTACCGTTCCACCTTGACACAGTTGACGGCGAGGAACAGGGAGAAGGTTGACGGTGGACGGTGGACGAGGCGAATGGCGGAGAAGCAGTCGACACAGATAAACAACACGCATGCAGAAAGTATGCGAAGGGGGATAAAAAACGAAAAAAGGCTTGCAGGTGGATGGGTCGAAATTGCATGCAATTATTAAGCATGATCTGCTTAAAGTTAACAGGAGGAAAGGCAGGATAGCAAATATACGTAGAGGTAATTATAGTCGGACACGATTCGGCAGGACTACGGCTAACCATGCACAGATACACTGAAGTGTGCATGCGACTGTCTGGCAAGACCGCCCTTAGTTGCTCACCAGGGTGGTGAGGGTTTTTAGGACCCGTTGAGGTAGATTGTTATTCTCATAAATGCGTTGAGCGCGACGCAAGTAATCGTAGACCTAGGAGTACGGTAATGCGAGTTTACGAGAGAACGTCAATGGAGGAGACAACGCTGGAGCACTCAAAAATTCACTGAAAGGCAATCGCCTGGGACGACCCTTTTGGCAGAATTACATATGGTTGAGTCCGTTTCCTATAGCAGTAGGTTGCTAAGCAGCAGTAGTAAGAAGAAAACAAGTAAACTCACAGCAAAGAGTAATTTAAGTATTCTACAGATGTCAGCATGAAGAATCATAAAGGTTCAGGAGGTCACCACACTCGATGCAAAGACTAAAACTACTTCTGACTTCTGAAATTGTGCAGTGGGCTACTTATGAAACCGGAGATGGGTAATTCAGAAATCCCATAACTGATCGTTTTCAGCGACCACTTAGTGGTTTAAACTGCGTCGAACTTTCATGAGGTTGAGTGGGGGTAGTTAGTGTAAAGTATGTTTGAATGCAAAGCAAATACCTCTTCGTATTTTCCTTGATTCTGACAGAGAAGAGCCAGATTGTTCAGTTGTTTCGCCACGTCTGGGTGGTCAGATCCGAGGACCTAGTAAAAAGCAAAATAAAAAAAACAACATGGAACCTTCTCGCGGATTTCTAGCGCACGTTTGCACAACGGTTCGGCCTCCCTATACTTCCCTCGTTTTCCATAGAGAACAGCCAAGTTATTCAACGTGGCAGCGACCTTAGAAGTGATAATGAGAACAATGAAGACATACAGCGGGGTGATCTGGGCCCAAATGCTTCTCTCGGATTACTAAGGCCTCATTCAGTAGGTTGGCGGCTTCCTTAAACTTGCACTGATCTCTAGTTCATGTCAGAAAGGGACTAAAACGAGATTACCTGTATACCAATGCAAGAATGTTCAGCATGGTGGCGACATCAGGATGGTCTCTCCCACTTGATTTTTCTAAGTCGTCAAGGGCTTGTTTGCAGAGAGGAACAGCAACCTCGTATCTGCCTTCACTTGCGTACTGTATGACAAGATTATGCAGGGTCCTTAGCCTAGCCGGTATTTCGTAGCTGTTGATTATCTGCGACATAACTGTCGTCTGGCTCGAACTCATTCCTGCAATAAGCATACTGAGCAAGATATAAGCTACCATCTTGTTCAGCATCATCTTTATCGTCAATGTTTAGAGCATTGTCGTCCTTCGCGGCTCCATTACCAAGAGCTCCGGAATCCTGATTGCCGGGAACGTCGTACTTCTGCATCTCATTCGCAAACTTCAACTGGTTGATCGTCTCTTCTAATTGGGCAATTGTGGCTTCACTTTGCCGATGGAGACCTTGAAGTGCCGCAAGCTCCTCTCTTAACCAGGTATTTTCGTGGAAGAGACGCTTCGTCTGCGTACGCAGTTTCTGTTTCTCAGCTTCGGCACTCTGGACGTACTCGGACACAACTAGCAACTCCTGAAACGGTTTGTAAGTATAAATTTTACAATACCGTGCCATCTTCGAAGGCGCGCTGTAACCTTTCAACGACGTTTTCCAAAGACTCTATCTTAGGTGATTTTTCGGACTCATTGGTGTCATTTGCGTTATTACGCTGCAGTATAGAGGTCTGCTCATTTTTAATTGAGTCGATAACCCTAATAGATGACTTCAGTTGTGAGACAATGTCTGAGAGAGGCAGGTCCTCCATTCTTGGTTTTCCTGGTTGCAAAGACTAGCGTAGAACCAAAAACCGCAGCACGGCTACACACCAAGGGTCGTTTGAAAAAGTAGTTATTTTCTACGCAGGTTCAACTTTGAATGTCCAGGGCTCTAAATCGTCTATTATAAAAGCGCAGGTTTTACCGGTGAATCATGAAACACTGGATGTCTTATTCCGTTTCCCATAAAGCCGTACAGGTATTATGCCTAATCTAAGAACTAGAGTGCTCAACAGAACTCATGAACAAGAGGTGAGCGCAAGACAAGGATGCCTCAACAATTAAATACAATGCCGTTTAAAACCGACGCAGAACTTGATTGACGAACATCAAAGGCGTAGAGTTGGTGAGCAAGCAGGTCAAGCAGATTTAACGAAATCGACGAAAAAGACAATGGAGTAGCAGGAGATGGTCGCCAATGACAAGCGTGGTTTCCTTGTCCACAGCAATATAAAAACGCTATTATGTAAATACATCGGACAGTATACGATCACTTTTGCAATAAACTAGAGGAAAATTGACGGCACGCTCATGGAATGATCGCATTCGAGCCTGATGTTAAAATATATCATATATTATATCAGCCTTCACATGAAACCATGACACTTTTAATTAATTTGTAAAAATTCTTCAGTCTAAATGGACGAGTTTGAAAAAACCTACTACAGAGGTGCATCGGGCACGTGAATATGGGACTTACCGTTCTCCAGATGGTCTCTTCTTAAGCTCCATGGTGTGCACCTGGTAAATTTACTGCCTGAGTGGATACGGGACACGCCACAAGAGGGCGTGTGCCAGGTTTTCTATGGTCCGCGGCCACAACGGCAGCGTCCTCCCTTACTTGTAGGCCCCTACTTTGAAGAGAATCCTCCCTCATCAAGATTTTATTCTACCTCCCGATGCGGCGGAAAAAACCGCTGGTGCACCCTCAGCCGTATCATTGACTGCTGAAGGGACTACGTCCTCGTCAGAAGGCATGAGCAGCATGAGACATCATTGACCAAGGTGATGTGCAATGTGGATTGATGAATGGACCACTTTCTTATTATCTCCAAGATGAGGCCTCGACTACAATTCCGCAAGTGTCCACCAAAAGCTAGCGTGTGATGATTCGGTTTCAGAAACCGCATAAATCGCAACCTGCGGCAATTGCGAGGCTTAGCAGTCAATGTCTCTAACTCGATGAGAACCTCCGTTAACGTTCGCTGACTGCATGAAGACCTCATCGACGATATCGAAGGAGGAACCGACACCTGTTCACGGGAAGGGGTAAGTTAAATTCAACTTGGAGAAGCTAGAGGGACAAGAAAAATTCGTTATTCAGCCTGACTTCCTGATCATTGACGAATTTAATGCAACACTCATCGAATGAAATTCAGTTTACGTAAGAAGTCCAGAACTAGCCCTTGATTGTCTTTTATTGGACATGGCACCCAGGTTGTTCCTCCCTCAGCGCATCATGTTACTTACAATGGTGCGTGGGGAGCAACAGTCAGACTGTCTGGAGCTGAGGCTCAACAAATCTTTACAGAGCATTTAAGAAGCACAAGGTCTGCCTCGTCTCTAGGTCTAAGTGACCACGTTGTACTATTCTGGCAATATTTAATCTTTTCGACTCTCCAACTTTCAGTCAGGGCTTGGAGAATTAGTTTGCCTAGCAATTTCAATTAAATGTAGTCGAATTAAACAGCATAAACTGGGAATCAACATTTTCATACAACGTAACCAAGGACTGACGGTGGTTAATTCAGTATAGTTAAGTATATTTAAGGCTATTAAGCAATGCTGAAAAGCAGACCTTATCGGCCGGCGAAGGCATTGAAAACAGGAATGAACAAAACCGGGGGTCATGAAGCAAATCACTTTTTGATAGGGTCCCTATGTCGGTAAATGAATAAAAGGCGAAGACAAGCCTGGTCAGGCGGCTTATCGTCTGAGCATGGCAGGAGTTCGAAAAGGGCCCGGTGAGTCGTGTTGCTGGGAATCCTAAGTTTCTGTTTGGTTATATAAGAAGGAGCATGCGCAACAGAGATCCCATCCCCTACTGAAGACTAGTGAAGACTAGTGAAGATCAAGGTCAAGATCAAGGCGCGTAGCTCAATTTCAAAGATAAGTGAAGCTCTGCATTTATCTGGATATTCTTGAGTAATTAATGCCTGTTTTTTACTTGAGTCCATTTTAAAAGTCGCCTTTCTATATAAGGTAAAATTTTTTCCCAATTTGTTTGACAGTCTGGCAAAATAGTCGTATTTTGTAAAAAATCCATTGTAGTGAATCCTTTCCCTACTACCGCTCTCTAGTTTTTGTAGTTAAATGACAGTAATACTTGCTTTTCAGTGCGCTCTTCCGTACGTTGGAAACGTTTTGATCCTTCTTCTGTAACGAAAAACATTTTTTTGTCTGTAATGCCCCGCAGAGCACGTGCTAAAAGGCGAAAGCTTGCGGCCTCCCCACCGTCTCTGGGTGCTAAAATCGTGACTGAAGAGATAACAGGTGCCAGCGTATGTTCTTCGCCGTCTGCAGATCTGATTAACTCACAAATTCCTTTAGTACATGTAGAACCTCTCGACCCTTCAGTCGTCCAAAAATACGCCTCTGCTAGTCGTAGCAGGCCATCAGCCGGCGAAATAATCGATCAGCTGATTTATGGAGACATAAACAGCACTTCTGAAAAAGTGCTTGAACAAGCTTTTAAATTTATTGGGGTAATAAGTTCGGAAACTGAGGAACGAATTAAACGCAAGCATAATTTCGTACTGCGTAACATTCCGAGCCACTTATCTGCTATGGAGGGAGCGCATTTGTTCCTACAAAGTTGTGGCTTGAGTTTTAGTGTCGCACAAGCTAAGCGACTTCGCTCGCTTAGTCGTAATGCGCCGATACTAGTTACCATTTTCTCCATGATAGAAGTCGATTTTATCTTGTCGAGTAGGGAGATGACTAGAGACTTCTGCCGTAAATGGCGCTGCTCCGTTTCTCCAGACCTCACACCCCTGCAGCGAAGTCTGAATAACCTAAAATCGGCAAAAACCAACACCAAGATATTGACACCTACTGTCAGTCTGAATATGTCCTCTACAACACCACGTGCGGCATCTGCAAGTAACGGCATAGTCAATTCCGTAGGGAGTTCGACTACTTTTAATGCTGACCTCTTTAAACACACCACCACGCCTGGTATAAACACGCCTCTATCGACTCCCCCAGCAACCCCTAGTAACCCTATGCATGTGTCTAAGTCAAAGGCAAATCCAATTGTTGTCTCAGCCACTCGGACACCCAATAAATCCAGCATTATTATAAAATCTTTTCCTCCACAATCGGCTAACTGTGCCTCAAATACCCCGACTCAAAACGTAGCGGGTTCGCAACTGCCCCCCAGCCCTCATATCAAGGCAGTTAGGCCGAATATGCCGATTTTCCCACCGTTTAATAGACCTCTTGTTCCAATGGAAGCAATGCGTTTCCCACCCCCTAACTTGTTTCCTTCACGGCCGTTTTACTAATTTATTCCTCATGATAATGTCCATACTGAATCAGTTAATTCATCCGATCCTCAGTTTCGTCCCGGCGGGAATACGTTGCAGTATCTGCCCCGCGGATTTCCAGCTGAAAATAAGTTAGCTAACAATAGTTACCAGTTTACCTGCCCGTCATTCCCTCCCCCAAGTCCTACCCCTTTTTATCCACGTCAGAATTTTTTGATGCCACAAAATTTTTTGCAGAACCGGATGGTTGCATCCGGAACGTTTGCTCCGTGGGCGACCCAGAACTGGACGATGTAGCCCACCTCCCTCAAAAACTAACAGCCTTTCCCTTCAAACTTTTTGTTGTAAATGCCAGATCCTTGCTTAATAAGATGCCTTTGCTTCAGACTCAGGTGTTCGTCCATTGTCCTGATATTGTTTTAGTAACTGAGACGTGGGCATCAGCCTCAGTAGCTGACTCCGAACTCTCTCTTCTAGGCTACAATTGCATTCGAAATGATCGCCAAGATAGCCGTGGTGGGGGCAGCTGCGTCTACGTTAAGCAAACACTTACATGTTTGCCGTTGGACCCCCTGCACTTTTCCGCTGTAGAAGGCAGCTGCTGGCTCCAGGTTGCACTAAAAAATAAGTTCTCCTTACTCATTGGCTGCGTCTATCGTCCTCCCAACGCCAATGACAATTTTGATCGTTTACTCTCACAGGCATTTCATGCTGCGGCCGACTCGAGCTTTAAGTGTCAATTGGTTGCGGGTGACTTTGATCTCCCTGAAGTCCGCTGGTCTCCGCCTTCAGGCCCCAGAAGGTTCGAAGACTTTCTTGAGGCTGTGGATGTTGGGATGTGGACTCAGGTTGTCGATTTTCCCACCCGAGGCTCAAGCATACTTGACCTAATTTTCTGTAGAGGCTGCATGCCATCGTCAGTGTCATCCCTAGGCCCACTCGGGGGCTCAGACCATGACATAGTTGTTTCAACTTTGGAATTCGAGGCTGATGAAATGTCGCCCCAAAAGTATAACATTTTCCGCGATTTCCGATCCACTCGCTCAACCGAATTATTAACACACCTTAATTCCTACGAATGGACTGAGTTCTTCCTTGATTCGGATGTAAATGTTTGCACTGCAAAACTGCACGAAATTTTGGATCCGCTTATTTCTCGTTTTGTCCCCCGTAAGAAAATTATTAATGTTGGGGATGAGGTTTTCCTACCTTTACCCTTTCGTCGCAGATTGCGCAGGCATTATCGTCGATTCCATCTTCAGAACGATGTTTCAGTCCTGCCCTTGATTTCTGATATTTTTGACCTAGCTAAGAAATTGTCTGAAGAAAAACAGCTAGCCGAAGAGGTCCAATTTACCGAAAACCATTCGTTAAATGTCTCGAAACTTTTCTCTAGAAAAATACGAACTCAGAGAAAGACGCGTATCCCATCCTTCGAGACGATCTCGGAAATCCCATAGTTGATGCCCAGTTAACCGCGGATAGCTTCAATGATTTCCTGT